TGCTCCAGTGGCGGTTTTTTGGGGGTCGACGTCTCTTGGCCGCGCTGACAGCGTCTGTGAGACAGCTCGCGACACTTGGGGGTCGCACCTCTAATTCATGGGGGTCGCACCTCTAATTCATGGGGGTCGCAAACCCAGCCCCCTAAAAAAAACCCAAAAATGAGACACCCAAACCTAAGGCAATGTTGCCAAGCAAGGTCCGAGTGTCAACTCAACGTTGCAAGTTGACCTGTGTGGTATCAACAGTCCAATCCTTACCCCAACTTTGGTGCTCCCTGAAGCTAGCACACCTCTTTTGTCTGCCCATGTATAATGCACTATCATCTTAAGCTTCAAATGATTTCTTGTTAATTCTCTTAGCAGTACAACATTATCCATAATTACCTAATTACTCCCTTTTCCATTCCATGTTCACCCACACCATCCAAAAATTCTCTTTCCATTTACGGCCCTCATCTTGCACCCTTGTAACTCATCTTTTAAATTGGTTTTGTCACCAAAAGGTTATGTCCCAATAGTCTTCTGGATCTGTTAATATCACTTCTGTCCCTGGATGAATTGTTTATGGGAAGTCCCTCCTCATTACTCATGTGAAAACTGCTAATCACAGACTTATTGTTTGTCAGGTCTATGCTACTTATGTCAACTACAGAGGCTTAGAGCAGTGAGCCCACACCTGTGAGTGTGACAGCCTTGTTACATAATTATAATAAAAAATAAGGGATAAGAACATGTACTAAATAGGATAACAAATAATAAATGGCTATAGAGAGATAGAAAAGAGAAAGAAAAAAATAATTGAGAGCAAAGAGTGAATACAGATAGAATAGAATGGAGTTTCTTGTCCCCAAGATTTCTTATCCCCAAGTGATGAGAGAAAGTATTGGATAGTTAAGAAAAGAAATCCATTCCAGAGAGCCTCTCCCTTTTTCCCAGAGATATCCAAAACCAATCTATCCACTAGCACTACAACCCTTAGAATGAAAGAAACTCACTATATCTTGAATAGTACTATCCTTTTATTATCAGAAAAGTGCAGTCTTATATTACTTTCCTTACTCACAGATTACTTGAACTATCCTCTGGTAACCAGGGTGGTTTCCTCAGTCTTTTCCCATTCTTGTTATCCTTTCCTTCCCTATCTAGCTGTTAGCTGATTAAGGATTGCCTTTTTCTTAAAACAGGAAGACCAGAATAAGATTAGTTGTTTTTCCTGAGCTGTTGTAGACCTATCAGTTCCCTCCACCATCTTGCAAGTCTTTGGCCATAGCACTACAGACCAGTAAGTAGCATAGGCCTGATCATTTGGTGGTCTGGCCAGGAAAAAACCTGGCCAATGTACTATCTAACTATCCTCACCATTCTAGTTTATGAGCTCAAGTCTTTTCATTGCCAATAGAACCTGTATTATAATCAAAATTCTCCTCCACTGCCAGAAACAAACCACATACTCTGATAACTGGAAGATGTACGAAGTCAAGACTTTCCAGATTGCCATAACCTCCACTTTACTTTTCTCTAACAGGGAATTAGTAAATAAGACCCAAGAGAAGAAACTCTTAGCAATAATCACAAAGAACACTTGTAGAGACTTAGATCTAGATTCTAAACCACTACCACTTGCTGTCCAAGAAGCAATCAAAGAGACTGCTCTTGATTCAGACTTTGTTATGATTGTGTAACCCCATCTGGAAATTGCCAGGGGTTTCCCCAACTGGGGGATTATCTTCAGCCTCCAAACCTTTGTACATTCCCCAGTTAGCAATATATCATCCTAATCACAACAT